CCTCCTCCTCCTCCTCCTCCTCCTCCTTCTCCTATAATTCAAGACAGAGCGCAATGACCTTAATCAGAATCAGATACAGTCCCTTCAAAAAGAACAAGGTCATTAACATTCTAAACCACTTTCTTCGGCGAGAAGCTGGGATTTATTTAAGTGTTTTTATGCGTGACGGTAGGACTAGGGGCGCAGATAACGGGAATGCCTTCTGGGGCTTCTTTGAGGCCGAGGTTAGAGGCTTGTGGCTGAACTGACCAATTTAGTTTCATCATTTCAATTTCTACTCTGTTCATTTCGTCTGACGACGGGTTAGTGTCACCATCTCGAAAATTCACGAGTACAACTCAATTTTTTCTGACGAGCCTTCTATCTTTATCATATTATCTCAGCTATTCAGTATATATATGTGCCAAGTAGGCGTTTGACACTCACTATTGTGGTTATGATCTCATTCGATCCCATTCTGTCCGCCCGCCAGCTTGTTACTGGCGACAACGAACGCTGTGTCATAGGACACATACCACATGTAATACATAGACCTGTTGCACTCTTACCGTGTGCTAATTGCTCTTGCGTGTATGTTGGCCATACAGGTCGATGCCTGGGCACCCGTATCAACGAACACAAACTAGCTATCCGTCGGCGAGACCCCCTGTCCCTCGTCTTTGCCCATGCACTCGAGTACGACCACCGATTCAATTGGGATGGCACTGAGGTCGTCGCCATGGCTAACACAAAGCGAGCGAGGGAATTTCTCGAGGCTTGGTACTCCGATGCGGGTAGTATCAACCGCCACGTTGATTTAGATGCCCATTACGAGGGTTTACGTTCACGAATGACTGCCCCCTGCCCTAATCACGCATCAACGACCGCGAATACAGCCGCCCGCATTCCAACTGATTCACCACTCACCCTCCCCCTCCAGCACGGCGTGCCGTAATTGTTCCGCCTCCTCTCCCTTTCCCCGCCCCTCACTCAGTGACCTACCATGACCTCGGGAGCCCACCCAACCACCCCCCCTCACGCGTCAGTGGTCTGTTCTGTCCTATCACGCTAACTGGTCTACTGTGACAACATAACTTTCTCCCTCGTTTTCATTTCGTCTGACGACGGGTTGGTGTCACCAGCTCGAAAATTCACGAGTAAAACTCGATTTTTTCCGAAGAACCACTTCTACTTTTCATATATATATATATATATATATATATATATATATATGGGCGCACACCGGTCCACTGGCTTCCCGAGGCAATCAAGCTTCGTATAGGCGGTAGGGGTCACGAACAGACAACCACCTACCAGGTCGAATTCGGTCAAGCTATGATAGCAGTGGGGAGACGGCAAAGTCTGTGGGGTAGATTGATATAGCACTGTTTCGGGCTTGTTTGACTTCAGTCAGCCAATCATAACCCTGACCACCAGCCGGTACCGGAAACACAAACATGCGCGCAGACACACCTGGCGCAGCTGGTCCACTGCTGGTGTCTACCAGATGGGTCATAAGCACTTCATCGAACCGAAGTTCATCAGTGCCTCACCAATTGCCGTTTTCTACCGCTGCATAGCTTGGCCGACTTCGGCCTGGTTGGTGGTTGCCTGTTCGTGAACCCTATCGTCCGTACGAAGTTTGTTTGCTTCAGGAAGCCAGGGAATCGGTGTGCGCCCATTCCTAAGTGAATAAATATCCGATCTGCAGCGACGATCTCGGGAACCATAGTTATATGGTTCCCCAGATCGTCCCTTCTTCTCATATATGTATCATACTATACACGTGGGAACAGTCAATTTTATCCCTTTCCGTGCTGTATATTAACGTAGGAAATCGGCAAAGCAAAGCCGTGACCTCTGAACTAAGGTTGATGGAAAAGCACTTGCGGTCCACTATGGTCGGTAGGAAAGTTGTAAATGTGCGCCAATCACTGACCTCTTAGACACGTAATAGCAAGATATCGGCGCATGCGGTTACCGTTACATAATGCCAACGTTACTACCCAGATTCTGTATGCTCAACAACCCGATTCCAACTGATTTGGCCACAACAATCTCACAGCAACATACGTCGCTTCTACATCAATTCGAAAACCCGTCTGTACCCCTGATTGGTTCCGTCTTAATTAATTCGGAAAACCTGACTTTCCTAACTAACCTGTCTCATAATGTGGTTTTCCTTCTATCCCGCAATTGAATTACCGTACACAGTCCTGCAAACCTTTGGACAGAGAATATATATTTTAAAGTACCATACACAAAAATATATTTTGGAGGCAAAAACGTTCTTTAGAAACAAATAGAAAAGCGTATTAGGTAAATTTTCGACGCTAGTTCCCCAGGTCGTTATCAGCCTTGATTAAATGTGCAAAAACAATTAAAATTACAAACGTGCTAAAAAATCAATATTCATTTGGTGTTTGTGCCAATAACTGACCATAGCGTGCGTCATTCCTTATTGATTGGCTCTTGCCTCTTCCACTATTCCCTGAGACTTCCGTACATGACATCTAACGCAATGTGCCGACTGATGCATGTAATAACGGAGTGCCTGACTTCAAGAAACTCTTAGCCTTTCTAGGCGGGGAAAACTCCGACGATGCAAGTTTTGTCCCATGCGAAGGTATGCCCAGTCTCAAGGGTGTGCCTGACAATTTGAGACATGTGGTCTCACCTCTTAACTGCCAAATGATGTTCATGGATGCTTGTAGAGGCAGACTTTCTCGTTTGGCCATAATATGCAGCATCACAGGCATCGCATGGGATATTGTAGATGACTTCTTTCTTATCATGATAGCCACCTCTATTCTTATGGTGTAAAAGCTGACTCTGTAAAGTAGACGTCGGCTTGTGCGCCACCTTTATCTGGTGTTCCCTCAAGTGTCTTTCAACAAGTTCCGACACATTCCTGACTTAATGAAGCATTCGCCAATTTTTTTACTGTGGATGTTTGATTGGAACTATCTAGTTCACTGGTTTTATTTCTTGCTGTCTCATGCATCGATGAAAGAAATCTCTAGGGTAACCGTTCCGTGAAAATAATTCAACCAGTTAATTTAGTTTGAATTAGTAGCTTTTTTCGTCAGAGCACATCGTGCTGGATGCCATGTACAGAAGTCTCAGGAAAAAGTGAAAGAGGCGAGAGCCAATCAATACAGAATGACGCACACTGCCGCCATTTACTGCCGCGAGCATCGAATAGATATTGATTTTTCAACACGTTTGAAATGTCAATTGTTTTTGCATATTTACTCATGTCTGATGACGACATGGGAAGCTAGCGTCGAAAATTTACAGGATAATTTTTCCATTTTTTTTTTCTCATAGAATTTGTCTGCCTCAAAACTATATTTCTTGAGACGAATGCCTTGCAAAAGATATATATAGGAAGCCGGAATTGATTGGGGAACTGTAACTTGTATTCTGGGAATTTTTGAGACTGGTCTTCCAGCCCGTCTAAGGCCATGGTTACACAGAAAAAATCAACTTCTTGCTTGAGTCTAAAAGGGTTCTATGACTGGTTAAAGTCTATGCCAGTGCGTGTTAACTACACTTTGTCACCTTTTCGGGATTGTTTACGTCAGTTTGACTTCCTCCTTAAAGGTTTTGTATATGGCATCTAGATCGATATGTCGATTGATACATGCCTCATATGAGTGCATTTCTTTCAGGAATTCGCGAACTTTCCTTATTGGGCAGGCACCAACAATGCGAGTGTTCTCCCATGCAAATGTATGCCCAGTGTCCAGTATGTGCATGACCGGGTTGTAGGGGTGTCCAGCGGTGGGTTCACGTGATGGTCGTAGTGGTCGCTCACTTGCTCGCAGGTGAGACTACGCCTAGCGTCCATTTGCTGGCACCCAACTCTCACCTGTGGCTCCACGTAGCTGGGCTCTGCTCAGCGGCCACACCCCGGGCAACCGCCTCGACCGGCGGGCTAAACCAGGTGAGGGCGCTGTGCGCTTGTGCCGCGTGCACAGTGTACTGCGAACTCCGCTGGATGGATGGTCGGATGAAACACTGCGCCGGCATCGTCGAGACGAGGCTCTGCCTGGTACGCCGTTGGACAACTGCTGCCGGGACGGGTCTCCGCATCGCCTTCGCTGAGACGCGCCCACCCTCGCCAACGGAGAACGCGGACTCACGGCATATGCGGTCGTTCTCCACTACAAGCATAAAAGTCGTGGCCCCATAGTGGGAGTCGGTCGTGCCAACCAGGCACATGCGCAGCCCGATTCAGGAGCGGCACTGCCTGCCCCACGAGGGGAAGGGCCTAGAAAAGGTGGCCTAAAAAATGCTGGGTACCACGCCGTCTCCAGGCTAGCCAGGGCCGCAGACGTCTAATCATGGTCGAAACAATCAAAATCGAAATAACAACAATACCAATAACAACAACAATCTTACTCATTGTCCTCATCCTACCTCTTCTACCTCTTCCTCTGCCTATTCTTCTGCCTATTCTTCTCCTTCGTCACCTTCTTCTCCATCTCCTTCCCGTCGCCCCACTCGTTGTCACCAGACTGGCAGGGTGAGTCCGCTCACTCTGGCAGCCTGGAATGTTCGTTCCCTTTTAGACAATCCGAGGAGCAACTGATCGGAATGGAGGACGGCGCTAGTGGCACGAGAACTGTCGATCTACAAGGTGGACATCGCCGCACTCAGCGAGACCCGATTCTCCGAACAAGGCCAACTGGAGGAGGTGGGTGCCGGTTACACCTTCTTTCTGGAGCGGTCGACCCAAGGCAGAGCGACGAGACGCGGGAGTCGCCTTCACCATCCGGAACGACATCGTGGGACGACTGCCCTGTTTGCCGCAGGGCATCAACGATTGTCTGATGAGCCTCCGTCTGCCTCTCCGGGGTGGGGGCAAATTCGCCATTATCATCAGCGCCTACGCTCCGCCGATGAGCAGCCCCGACGCCGCCGCAAGAGACAAATTCTATGTGGACCTGCACGCCCTCTTGGCGACTGTGCCGAAGGCGGACAAGTTGATTGTCCTTGGCGACTTCAACGCCCGCGTCGGCACAGACCATACTGCCTGGAGGGGAGTGCTGAGTCCTCATGGTCTCCGCGGCTCCAACGACAACGACCTGCTTCTCCTCCGCACCTGCGCAGAACACCGCCTCATCCTGACGAACACGTTCTTCTGTCTGCCGAAGCAAGAGAAGGCCACCTGGAGGCATCCTCGGTCGCGCCAGTGGCACCTGCTGGACTACGTCCTCGTCCGGAGGCGAGATCAGCGGGACGTGCTGGTGACGAAGGCGATCGCGGGTGCGGACGGGTGGACCGACCATTGCCTCGCCATCTCGAAGATGCGTATTTGCCTACAGCCTCGCAGGCAACCACAAGGTAAGCGACCCCCAGGTAAGCTGAATGTTGCCTTGTTGTCTTTGCCCGCTCACCATCTTCATTTCAGCAATGAGCTAGCTCAACGGCTAGACAACCTTCCAATCGCTGCCGCCGCTGCCGTGAATGCCTCCGTGGAGAACCGCTGGGGTCAACTGCGAGACACGGTCCAGTCGACGGCGCTCGCCGTCCTCGGTCGCGCTCCCCGGCAACACCAGGACTGGTTCGACGACAACGACGCCGCCATCAGAAATCTGCTTGCTGAGAAGAACCGCCTACACAAAGCCTACGTTGATCACCCCACTGAGGACAACAAAGCTGCCTTCTACCGCAGTCGCCGCCAACTTCAGCAAAGACTGCGCGAGATGCAGGACACCTGGACTGCTCGCAAAGCTGAGGAAATCGAAGGCTACGCGGACCGCAACGAATGGAAGAACTTCTTCTCTGCGATCAAAGCTGTCTACGGTCCGCCGACGAAGGGCACTGCTCCTCTCCTCAGCGCCGACGGCAGTACTCTTCTGACTGAGAAGGCGCAAATCCTGCAGCGATGGGCCGAGCATTTTCGAGGCGTCCTTAACCGCCCCTCCGTCATCTCCGACGCCGCCATCGTCCGCTTGCCGCAAGTGGAGACCAAAGTGGACCTCGACCTCCCGCCATCTCTCCAGGAGACCATCAGGGCCGTGCAGCAGCTCTCCAGCGTGAAAGCACCCGGATCGGACGCAATCCCTGCTGAGGTCTAAAGGCACGGAGGTCTCCAACTGATGGATCACCTGACTGCGCGCTTCCAGGATGTGTGGCGTCAAGGTGAAGTCCCGCAAGATTTCAAGGACGCAACCATCGTGCATCTCTACAAGCGCAAAGGGAATCGCCAAGTCTGCGACAATCACCGTGGCTTCTCCTTGCTGAACATCGCCGGGAAGATCTTCGCACGAATCCTTCTCAACCGCCTCAATAACCATCTCGAACAGGGCCTTCTGCCGGAAAGCCAATGCGGCTTCCGTCGTCATCGTGGGACCACGGATCTGATCTTCGCCGCCCGTCAACTTCAGGAGAAGTGTCAGGAGATGCGGACTCACCTGTACTCTACCTTCGTGGACCTGACGAAAGCCTTCGACACGGTGAATCATGAAGGACTGTGGAAGATCATGCAGAAATTCGGCTGTCCGGAGCAATTCACTCAGATGGTGCGTCAGCTGCACGACGGTATGATGGAGCGAGTCACGGACAACGGAGCTGTCTCAGAGGCATTCGCAGTGACCAACGGAGTGAAGCAGGAATGCGTGCTGGCGCCAACCGTCTTCAGTCTTATGTTCTCTGCCATGCTGATGGACGCCTACCGCGAAGAACGCCCCGGGATCCGCATCGCCTACAGGACAGACGGTCACTTGCTGAATCAACGGCGGATGCACTTCCAATCGCGCGTATCCACAACCACCGTGCACGAACTCCTCTTCGCCGACGGCTGCGTCCTGAACACCACCTCGGAAGAGGAGATTCAACGCAGCATGGACCTGTTCTCCGCCGCGTGCAAGAACTTCGGTCTGGTCATTAACACGCAGAAGACGGTGGTGATGCACCAACCGCCACCCAACTCAGCCACAGCCTCAAACGCGCAGCCGCAAATCAGCGTGAACGGAACCAAACTGCAAGTGGTGGAGAGCTTCCCGTACCTGGGCAGTACCCTCTCCCGCAACACCAAGATCGATGACGAAGTCGCCAACAGGATCTCGAAAGCCAGTCAAGCCTTCGGTCGCCTCCAAAGCACAGTTTGGAATCGTCATGGTCTCCAACTGAGCACGAAGCTGAAGATGTACAAGGCTGTCATCCTGCCGACACTACTGTATGGAGCGGAGACTTAAACGGTGCACGCAAAGCAGGCACGCCGACTGAACCACTTCCACCTCAGTTGTCTTCGTCGCATCCTGAGGCTAAACTGGCAGGATCGAATCCCCGACACGGAAGTACTGGAACGAACGGGAATCCTCTACGCATTACTGAGACAAATTCGGCTGCGCTGCAGCGGCCACCTGGTGCGCATGGACGACGAGCGACTACCCAAACGACTCTTCTACGGAGACGTCGCGATGGGTTCTCGCCGTCAAGGAGGCCAAATTCGCCGTTACAAGGATACCCTGAAGTCCTCCCTGAAGCGCCTGCAAATCAACGCGGACAACTGGGAAGAGCTTGCACTCGATCGACCGACCTGGAGGAGGACAGTGAAGACAGGCGTTGCCATCTACGAAGCCAATCGCATCGCTGCCGCCAAGGCGAAACGCGAAGCCCGCAAATCCCAACTTCGCCCAGTACGCAACGCCGCCGCACAACCGCTTCCAACGTGTCCTCGATGCCAACGGACATTCCGGGCTCGAATCGGACTTGTTGGGCACCTTCGGATCAACTACGCCTCTCGAACTGAACCAACCATCGTCCCCCCGCCCGCCTCTTCCTCCCCTCCGCCGCCAACTAACTCTGACAATTCTTCTGAACCACCACTTCCATCCTCCTCCTCCTCCT